CTCCCTTCCACCGCTGCCCAAGCAGGCCTCCGACGTTCGCTCGGCCGATTGGAGCTTGACCCCCTCATTCCTTCGAAGAACCTCTTTCCATCCTCCACTTCTTTCGCCACCTGGTACACCTGTCGCAGCTTCGCCCGTACCCCCAAGGAGTATAGTCGGCTTCTCATGTCTCGTATCAAGTCCCCATCCAGTCCGTTGACGAACTTGGTCACTAGGATGCGTTCCTCCACGCAGCCCATATCCTCTGCCAGCTCCAGTAAACGGTTATAGTAGGCCAACAGCGATTCTGCCGGCGCTCTTATGAAGTCTTGAAACTCCGCCATCCGGTTAGCCGAATGCCCCGGGAACTGCTCCTGCAGGCTATCCAAGAAACGGTCCGTAATCTTTGCCGGTAAGATATCTCCTCTGTTGCTCCGCATCAGCAGCCCCTGCCTCTCCGCGCGGTAATGAGTCAACGCCTCTCCTTTGAGAGTCCTCCCCAAGCCTCTGAAAAATTCGATAGGATCCAGTCGCTCCCTGTCCCAGCAGTAGCGAATGTCTTCAATCATCATCAGGTAGTTTTTCAGCGTGGGCTCCTCTCCAGGTGCCCCCGAGAAGCGGTCTGGTACCTCAATTTTGGGTGGTGCAATACTCATCGACCTGCCTGTCCCCCAGCTTGTGTTCCCTCGTTCTCCACTCCCTGCAGGTCGCCCTGCTCTCCCGGCCTCCGTGGCTTCGTATCCTCCGGCAGAGAATCCGTGATATGCTTCCCCGCCTCGCTGACTTCGTCGTTCCTCCGATTGATCGTCTCCTCCCCTCAAACTACGCCTTTCTTCTCGTTGATCTTCTTCTCTCAGACTCCGCCGTTCTTCTCGATGATCTTCCCCTCCCTTCTGACTCAGTCGATCTTCATGTGGATCGTCTCCTCCCAGATCTGGATTTCCTCGGCGAGATCCACTCCCCACAGGTCGCCCTCCACTCCCCTCCGCGGGCGAGTCGCATGCCGAGCTCGGCTGTTGTTCTCCGTGTACACCTCGTTCTTCCTCCCGATCCCCGCCTTGGTTACCGCGTGGGTTCATCCCTCCTTCGCCTGCCCGAAATCCAGGCATCCTGACCGGCGGATCACGTCCCTCCATCATCCTCGCCGGGAATCGGTGTCCAGAGCGCAGTTGATGAGTGTGAAGCTCGCGGTCAAAATTACTCATTCCTCACGGTGCATCACCGCGAGCAACTCCAGGCAGTAGATCCTGCCACCTCTACTCTCAACAATCGTAATCCTGACCACCCTTTTTGCTTGTATGAAACAATACTTAACTCCCTCGCAAGGGCTCCGCCGATTTGCTTCAGCTCCTCTCTACTGCTAGTTCCCCGTGGATTAGGAAATCACAATTGCAGTAAATGAGAAACATACAAGCAAAAAGCAATGAGTCCGAGCGCTACTTCCGACTACATCCTCTCCTGCCTAGGTGCCTTGTCCCGCAAGCTACCTCTACTCCTAAGCGCGAGTCAGCCGAGCTGATCGCGTAGGCTTCAAGGTGCTAGCTGGGTCCCACTGGGCCCACTAGGCATGCACCGCCTTCCAGCCTGTGAATGTCGAATTGAATTCCCAGGCTGGCTAGAGTCGAATTCGCCCTCATCCTCCTCACCAACCCCCTCGAACTCCTCAGTAGCTCGACTCTGTATAGTACAGTAACATTCCAAAAAGAGCAAACAAAGTAAAATGCAAAAAGCAGTAAACTATAGTACACCTCACCTTGGCTGCTGTGGAATTCACACTTAGTTGCCAGCTAAGTGTTAATAACGCGACAAGTGGGAGAATGAGGGGTGCAGACGGAGAATGAGGGGTGCAGTGGGAGAATGAGGGGTGCAGAGGGAGAATGAGCGGTGCAGAGGTTGAATGAGCGGTGCAGAGAATGAGGGGTGCAGTGGGTGAATGAGGGGTGCACTGGGAGAACGAGAGGTGCAGTGTGAGGTACATTCATCGTATATAGACAAGATAAATTTGCTACATGTGTGGTATTTTAGTGAATTTACCTCGAAAGTGTGGGCATGGGATAGTGCCCACGAACTAAGGTACAGCAGGTTCATGCCACATCCTGATTCTCGTCTTCCCAATGTGGAATGGACATCTGGTCTCCCGTGTTGCTTCCACTTTGCTTCCCCTCCTGCTTACCCCTTGCCTCGCGTTTTCTCCACCTCCTGCTTGTTACAGTGCCGAGGTGATTGAAATGAAGGTGGGGGCAGCAGAGGGTGACAATAACGAGGCCAGCCAGGAGGTGTATCATGTATGTGGAAGGGGATGGGGAGGCGCTGGGGCACCTGCCAGCAGTCTTCAGAATACTCCCTGGCGCTATTGACCTCCTTCTTTAGCCTTTCTCTTTGGACGAGTATGCTCTATTACGAATTGACTTCTAGAGAATCGGGTAACCAGTTGTTTCTTGCACCCTCTCTTGTTGCGGTAATTGCGAATCTGTAAGCTTTGTGCAAGCATGTAGGTAACTATCCAGTAATTTATGCTGCTTCACGCCATCTTGGAAAAGAATCATGCAAGCAATTCGATTAGACAACTTTGGAGGCCACGCCACCTACGGTACAATTCAGGTGGGAGACAGGAAGGAGGAGGGAGAGGGAGCGAAGGGCGGGGAAGGTTTGGAGTGGGGGGAGGGTGGCCTGGTTCTGGTGGAAGGTGATGACCGGGCAAGGGACGAATGGGATCTCGAGCTCCAGACATCTCAAGACGCCGACAGGTGGAACGGGGGGATGGGGGGAATGAGGGATGGGGGAGATGGGGGAATGGGGGAAGAGAGCGATGGGGGGCTGGTTGGGAGATGGTGAAAAGGGGAGGGGGGAACGGGAGGGGAACTGACTTTTGAGTCGACTACAAAAATGGGCGACAGGGAGAAAGGAAGGAGGAGAAATAGCAGGCGGGAGAGGGGGAGAGCACAAGTAAAAGCGGAGCGGAGAGCAGTGGGAGAGAGGGGGAGAGCACAGGGGGACCGAGGGTGAAAGAACAGAGCTTAAAGTGCAGAAGTGCAGGGGGGAAGATGGGAGGGAGTCCAGTGGAGGCAGCAACTCACGCAGGGAGCTGAGAGGAGCTTATGACTCACGGGATATGATTGTGAGGCGCCTCAAAAGTCACGCAGGGAGCGCAGTGGAGGCTACAACTCACGGGCATTGCGCTGCTAGACTCGTCCACCCAGCAGTGTTTGAGAAGAACCCCGCCCACGTCGCCACCACTCTCAACCGCTCCAATTTCGGGCACGCCGCGCCGATGCTCGACAGCAGCTCGTTCCCCGGACTCGAGCGAACCTCCACGGTCAGGTCGCTGATATGGGTAAATACCCTCGAAAAATCGTGCAGATCTTTGAACCACCCGTTCCACTTGGAGCTCTGAAAGGGTGAGACGAATTCGAGGTGGAGCGAGTGGGGCGTGCGGCGGGAGAGGCGGCGGAGGCGGGAGCAGGAGAGCGCGACGCTGCAGCGATCGTGGGAATGTGTCAGAAGGGTGAGTACCAGGGATAGGAGCTCGCCCGGGAGAGAAAGCAGCAGGCAGTCTGGAGTCAAGTCACGCTTCGACGGCGAGGTGTGTCGCCCGCCATTCATCGTCGCGAACCCGCGCGGCGAAGAAAGAGTAACAATTAGAGTTACCACTGTAAAATTGACTGCAGGAGTCTGTGATTTCCTTGTAACTGGTGCTCGAGGTGCCAAATGAAATCACACAGCAATCAAGAAAAAAGTGAGGAGAGCACCAAGAAAGTGAGGAGAGCACCAAGAAAGTGGAGCAAACAGAGGAATATCAGGATCGATCGCTTATTGTCGGGGTTAGAGTTGGTCCTGTAGGCTTCAGAGACGCTGAGTAGGTACAAAGCGAGGCGGATCGATATTTGGGCTCTCGATCTTTGCTGACTTGTACCAAGTTCGAACGCGCAGACAGCAATCAGCAAGAGAAGGAGGTCGTACGCACTTCTAAAGCGCGCGCCGGAGCCAATCGACGAAGTGTTGTCTAACTCAGGCGGCGCAGGAAAAGTGCTGAATGTACATCCAACTAAAATAGGAGCGTTTGTGCTCCACTGAAGAAGATCTTGAAAAATAGGTTTGGCAGATGAGACTAGGCGGAAGGCGAGGAAGGAGGGAAAGCTTGGGATTGGGAGGTTCGGGACGAACACAAGTTGGACTTCAAGCTGACGCTTCAGTAACACTGGTCAATAAATTTTACCTGTTTGTATAGACATGTCTGCATCATACTGCGAAAGCGAATTTCTGTCAGAATTTGCCTGCTTAGAGGGAATACATAGGTAAATTTAATAACGCGGACAAAACTTGCCTGCTTAGAGAGAATGTATCCGTTAATGGGGTCTGTTGCCTTTGTGGATTCATCACAGGCGAGGCGACACGACGTCTAGTGGCTCTCGCAGTCTAACAGGACATACGACCTCTTTATATAGATGTGGTCGTCTTAGTCGGCGTTTATCTTTTCTGGTTTGTTGATTCCAATTTCCAAAACCTGTTACCAGGCAACCACGCTTTGCCGCCTTCCGTATCACCTTCGTAACCCTAATCGCTCCTCTTCGCCGTGCTAATTCGCGAGTATGAAAGGCTCACGACTCAAATCATCCCCCGAGAATGATCCTCACGACTCCATTCTGCTTTCTCTCCCCGATGAGCTCCTATCCCTAATTCTCACCCGTCTGGATCGTGCCCACGATCGTTGCAGCGTTGCTCTCTCCTGCTCCCGCCTCCCGCCGCACGCCCCACTCCCTCCGCCTCAAGTTCTTACCCCGTCAGAATTCCGATAAAAAGGGGTGGTCCAATAATCTGGATAGATTTTCGCGGGTATTTACCCATATTCGTGGGCTGACCGTGGAGGTTCGTTCGAATCCGGGGGGAAGCGAGCTTCTGGCGGGAATTGGCGCGGCGTGCCCGAAACTGGAGCGGTTGAGTGTGGTGGCGACGTGGGAGGGGTTCTCCACCTTCTTTTCCTTTACCCTGAACGATGCTGATCTAGGGAAGCTCGCAAAGCAATGCCCGTGAGTTGCAGAACCCGGGTCGCAACCCCTGCCTTCTTCCTCCCTTTCCCCCTTGTTCCCCCCGTTTCCCATTCTTCCCGCCATTTCCCCTTTCTGCCCCCCTTTCCCCCTTCTTCAACCCCTTTCCCCTTTCTTCCCCCCTTCCCCCTTCTTTCCCGGTTCCCCCCTCACTTCCCCCCTCCTTTCCCCCTTCTTCCCCCATCTCACCATTTTTCCCCCTTCCCCCCATTGTCTCCCCCTTTGTGCTCGCTTTATATTTCCCTTGCCCTCGTCCCCTTCCCCCCTTGCCCTTTCCCCTGCTTCCCTCTTCCTTCCCTCTATTTGCGCCAGCCCTCCCTCCCCCTCCCCCTCTTGCCCCTCCCTTTCTCATTCTCCCAACCTGCTCTCTCCCTCCCTCCCCACCTTCCGTCGTGGGTCCTTCCCCTCTTCCTTTTCCAACTTTCCTTTCCTCTGTCCCCTCCCCATCCCCCCCGTGCCTGCATCCCCTCTCGCCATTGCACTCCCATCTTCATCCACGTCCGTTCTCCCTCGTTGACTTTTGAGTTGACTCAAAAGAGTTGACTTACCTTCATCCCCTCCCGCACTTGCCCTCCCATCTTCTTGCATGGTCTCCCTTCTGTTCACTACGATCTCCCTTCTTTCCCCCGCTCTCCCCTCTTTTCCCTGCTCTCCCCTCTTTCCCCCGCTCTCCCCCCTACTCTCCATTCTTTCCCCCGCTCTCCCCTCTTTCCCCACGCTCTCCCCTCTTTCTTTCCCCCCGCTCTCAACTCTTCACCCTGCACTTTCCCTTTTCCCCACGCTCTCTCCTCTTTCCCTTTTTCCCACGCTCTCCCCTCTTTCCCTTTTCCCCACGCTCTCCCTTCTTTCCCTTTCCTCCCCGCTCTCCCCTCTTTTGCCCACGCTCTCATTCCCCTGTGCCCCCCCCATCTCCCCCCTATACGCTCAGCCTCTCCTCCTGCCCTCTCTCTCCCCTCTTCATATTGTGCCCTACCCCTCTTGTTCTCTCAGCCTCTCCCATCTGCTCTTCCTCGTCCTCCCAGGTCTTTGCCCCCTCCCACTTGTTCCCTCTCCCACTCCTCTCCTATCCTCTCCCCCCTTTCCCTGCTCTCATACCCTCGTTCCCTGTTATCCCTCCTTCCTCCTTGCTCTCTCTCCTCTCCCCCATCTCTCTTCCATTCCCCCCGTCCGCATTCCCCTCTCCAGCCTCCATTCCCCTTCTGGACTTGACTCCCAACCCTCTCATCCCCAGACCCTCACACCCAACCCTCGCACCCTCCAACCCTTATACCCTTCCCGTAGAATTCAAATGGCTCTCATTCAGCTTTTTCCTATCCGTCCTCCCTTCCCCTTTTCCGCTTCCGCCATTCCCATTTTCCCCGTCCCGCCCCCCTCTTTTCCGTCATCAGCCTCTTGACGTCTCTCGATCTCGACTCCCCATGGGAGCGTTGCACAATCAGCAGCTACACCAATAACCGTACCTCCCGCGCTCCTCTCCACGCCTTCCCCGCCCTTCGTTCCCTCTCCCTCCTCCTCCCCGTCTCTCATCTCGACTCCCTTCCCCACTGCTCCTTCCTCACCCCCCTCGCCCTCTTTAACCCCCACCCCTCCACCCTCTCCTCCCTCGCCTCCTCCTCCTCAGCCGTCCGGCCCATCCTCAAAACCTTAAACCTCAAATCAGCTGAACTAACGGCCTGCCTCGCACCTCTCGCCTCCTTCCCCTCCCTCTCCTCCCTCGATCTTCAAACCTGCAGCATCGACCCTTTTGAGCTGCATGCCCTCTCTCGCTCCCTCCACACGCTCACTGACTTGGGCATAATCAACTGCCCTTTGATCTCCAGCCACTCCCTCGCCACCCTCGCTCAAACAAACCTGGCTCTCTCCTCCCTCTCTCTCCACACCACCTCATACCATCTCTTCAGCGCACAAGGCCTCTGGTCTCTGTTTCACGCCCCTCCCGCGCACCTGCACACGCTTTCATTCTCCGGGCTGCCCTCCTTCCGCCCCGGCCTGCTTGCCCACTGCAGCGGCCTGCAATCTCTGACGATAGCAGGTCGGTGGGAGATAGCACCGCGTTTCAGCGTCAGGGGTTGTGATGATGAGGCGGGGCAGGAAATGGAAAGAATGGGGTGGGGGTTTGATGATGATTGGCTGACTTGGGGAGGAAGTTTTGGAGAGGTGGATTTGGGGGAAGCGGCAGCGGCGGCGGCGGTGCCGACTCAGCAGGTGTCTCTAGAGAGTCTTGTGAGTATGCTGGTGGTGGTGGTGCGGAGGGGAGGAGGAGAGGGGGGAGTGGGAGTGGAATGTAAAGAGGAGGGTGGGGTGGGTGGGGAGGAGGGTGAGGTGGAGGAAAGTGAAGTAGTGGAGGAAGGCAAGAGGCAGGGGGCTGTAGAAACTACAAATTCTGCTGTTGCGTCCGCTTCAGCAGGAGAAGGAGCAGAAGTATTTACTGCAGCAGCAGCAGCAGCAGCAGGACCAACAGCAGCTGCAGCTGCAGCAGCAACAGCAGTAGCAGCATCAGCAGCAAAAACAACAATAGTCGACCCAAGGAACGAAGTGAGGAGGGAGTGTGAGTATGAGTATGTAGACATTCAAACAGCAGCAGCAGCGCGCATGCCGACCGGATAGCCGCCTGCAATTGCTCAGTCAAACTGATGAAAGAAGCCAATTACTCCATAAGAAGCGCGGTCCTCAATGCTGATACTGCCCGGATGCCTTGGGGAGAAGACTCCCTAAGCAAGATCGAATCAGCAACCGACAGCATTAGGTCAGCTATCGCCTTGTGTCGGTCGGTGCAGGTGGCGATTTTGGATCAAGCTGCAGCGACAGAGAGGGAGCATGCGATGATTGAGGCGTTCTCTGCTGCTGGTGTGTTTGTGAAGAGGGAGAGTCGGGGAGGAGAGGGCGAAGGAGGAGCAGGCCTGCTTGAAGAGATCGATGGGATACTGCTTGGCAACGACGTTGCTGGGACCGGGAGTGATGGTGATGGTGCTGGCGATGCTGATGGTGGTGGTGAGAGGGAGGGGGAAGGTGCTGCGGGGAACGTGAGTCCTCGCGCGACGGCGCTGGGTGTGATACAGACGCTAATGTGGCAGCTGGGTGAGGAGAGGAGGAACACGTATGAGACCTTCGAACGCATGCGCTGGCGCGTAGCTCGTGGTGCTGCCGGCTGGCCTGCACATGAGGCAGGGCTCGCAGCAGCAGCAGGTGGCATTCTTGGTGGTGGTGCTGCTGCTGCTGCTGCTGCTTCTGCTGATGCTGGGGGTACTGCTGCTGGTTCAGATACAGCTGCTGTGACTGGTGGTGGTGGTTGTGCTGCTGCTGCTACTGCTGGTTCTCCTGTTGTTGCTGGTGGTTTATCCAATATGGCTGCCGTTTCTGGTGGTGGTGGTTGTACTGCAGATGGGACAGCAGGACGAGCGGGGCAAGCGGAAGGAGTTGTTGAAACATCAGAGCAGGGGAGAGGGATGCAAGGAGAGGGAAGTTACAAAGGTGGATGCAAGTCAAAAGGCAGCCAAGATTCAATAAGCAGAAGCAGAGAGACACCCTTCAACCTGGCACGGGAATCCACTGATACGAGAAAAAACATTTCCGGAACTCCTGTGGAAGTACTTTGTCCTCCCCTGGAGGCCTTATGTCTCCAGAATTTTCACTTCACCACCACTCCCCAGCCTACCTGGCTGCCTCCGCACCTCCCCTCTGCATCCCCTCCCATGTGCTTCACATCTTCCAGTCTACCCTCCTCATCCTCCTCTGCGTTTCCCTTCCCGAGCCCGAGTGCCCAGCCTCAGACCTTTGAGTCCATCGCACTCGCAGCTGTCTTTGGAAGGCTCAAGGAACTCACACTGCTGTCCTGCTCTGGGCTGGAGGAAGAGCAGATACTGCTGCTGCTCCGCGCTTGTTCCCTTTTAGAATCACTAACGATGGAATACAATAATTGCTTTTCAGACCGCATGGTCGCACGAAGCAGGCTGGAGAGTCTGACGCGGTTGAGCATGGTTGGATGTGGTGCCATCACTTCGGCCGCCATTGGGGATTTGCTGGGAAGCTTCCCTAGGTTGCGGCGTTTGAATGTGGAGGCAAGCAAGGTTGCGGCAAAGGATCGAAGTGAGCTGCTCCGTGCGGGAGTGATTCTCGAGGGAGGCAACGTATATGGGAGTCAATGACATTGCCAGACAAACCGTGCATGGGGCTCTTACCGGGATCTCAGGACTTGTATATTGATGTCCCTAGGAGAACCTGCATCCCAGACTGGTGGTGCCCAAGACTTGCATAAAGAAAAAAACCACAACCCCAAGACGGTTGTAGCAACTTCCGGACTGACTGATTGACAGATGGTGGAAGTGCTGATACATTTCAGTGGTTCAGGAAACATCAAAGGGAAGAAGGTTGCAGGAAGTAAATACTTGCAAGAACAGTTAAGCAATTCTCCACTGTGTCTTCAATTCAATCAATGTGATAAAACGAATCAAGCACAGGAGCCTTGACGAAGGCCGGTCAGCAACTCAAGGTAGCCTGGTGAATCTGGTGAAATCATGCTGATGAAATTGGGGGACACACCAACACAATGCATAGGGGAGGGGGGAGAGTGGTTGTGTTGCTGAAAAGGAAGGTGGCTTGGGGGAGAATGAGAAGATAGGTCCAGAACAAGAGGAGCGATGAGAACGATTTGACTCCTGATGTTGCTTGAAGCAAGTGGATTTAAACTGGGAGAGTGAGTACAGCAGAGCTGGTGGGATGGATGGAAGAGAATACAAAGCACCAGCACCGCAGGAGTCTTGATGGTGCACTGTTATTCTCCTCCACAGTGACACACCATGAACTCTTCTTTGAGAAAAGATAGTTAAAAGTACTCTGCATGTACCAGCAACTTCACCCAGTCCTCTGCACAACCCCCCCACCACACACCCTTTCGCTCTCCCTCTCCTGTGCTGATCAGCTTTACCTTCACACAGCGCACACAAGCTTTAAGGTCCAGACTTTGACGCTTGCATGCAAGCATGAGGGATCATGCGCCCACTCTACTCACCCGTGTCTTATAAGGAAGTCCATGATAACGAGGTTGCAGTTCGCCTTGTACTCCTTAGTGTTGGCCACGATATTAGCCACAGCTTCAATGGGTACCAGGGAAAACTCCGCTACCTCCCCATCTGTTGGTGCGGGAAAAGGGTGAGAAAACGAGGCGAGGAGGCATTGAGAGGGAGGGTCTATCTGCTTCTTTTCCATCTGTTGGTCAGAGAAGGGTGGAAATTGTTGAGGGACAGGGAAACAGAGGCCCTTTTATTGCACAGTGGAGGAAGAGGTGCTGAGGAAGGAAGTGCTTGGCATATGGAGGGGAAGAGGTACCTGGGAAGGGACAAACACACGGATGGTTTCTGAGGCACCTCAAAGGCCAAGGACGGGGCGACTGGGGAGGAACAAAGTCACGTCCCAGCGAGACAGGAGCATCACCAACGGCGCACGTACCTCTGCAATTAGAATGGCACATATTTTAGTGATACCCAAATAAAAGCAGGGTGTTTTATGTATCTAGCCATTTATCACAAATACACCCCAGAAAACGTTGTGATGAACGCCAGAGTGTGCCAAACCTGTGTCTGGTAGCTGCCGGGAGGATGTAGCAGAAGAGGCTGACTTATAAAACCAGAGAATATAACTTCCCAGCCATCTCAAAAGCAGAAGACACACCTGTGTTCCTGACAGAACCTGTTGAGGCGTCTCAAGTAGAAAAGGTGACTCCTCAGACGAGCCAAATGCAGCTGGGCCAAACCTGTGTATCTGGGAGTGAGTTTTGAGTCGAGTCAAAATAAAGCTGCAACGCACCTGTGGGAGTGAAATCAGGTGGCAGGAGGAGGTCGTAGCTAAGAGGTGACTTTCAGTCGATTCATAAAGGCAACCTGCAACGCACCTGTGTTTCGGGGGGTGAAGTCGGGCGGCAGCAGGAGGTCGTAGCAGAACAGCACATCCCTCTTGAGCGTGTTGGCTGCTGTCACAGTCTCATAGCTCACCACCCCCACTGGCACTGCCCTTCACTCCACCCAGTTAACTCCATCCCATCCCATTGCATTGCATTGCATTGCGGTCCATTCCATTCCATCCCATTCCGTTCCATAGCACTCCAATCCATTTCCATTCCATCGCATTCCAACCATAGTACCAACCGGAAAAGTCACAAAATACGAGGCCACTGAATCAGTCATGCCATCAACCGCACTCGGGGTTGCAGTCACAAAGAAACCAGGAAAGTGCATGGTGCTCTGCCATTTAGAAGAGAGAGAAACAAACGACACAAGCACAATAAAGCAGCAGGAAGCACCTAACTCGCACCAGCGGACCAGGGAAATTCTGTGGTTTCAGAATCAGCACTTCTCGCACGTATTATCTACACTATTTATTTATTTATTTTGGATTCTGTTTTTTTTTTTTTTTTTTTTTTTTTTTTGCAGACCAGGAAGAGTTTCTGCCCTGTTTCTGGCATTAAAGCTGAAGTATACATTTGACATCCAGGTTTTAGGTTTTGGGAGTCGCCTCACGGTCTCACGAGCAAAGTTTCAAATTTCAAAAGTTTTTGAACCCCTTCTGTCAAATGTATACTAAAGCTTTAAGGAACTGGTGCTCTCACCTCTCTGCCAAGTGCCTTGGAATGTCTGCCTCCTCCTCACACTCCTTGATCATGTTGTCCCTGCAGCTGATGCCGTGCGGCTGGAAGGTGGGCAGCGGAAGCAAGAGAGGGGGTTGAAAGGTGGATTAAAGCCCATGCCTGATTCAAAGCGTTGAACAAATAGGGCGTTGAGTCTATGCAGGATGCTCTGTCGGTCTCATGCACTTTCTTTTGTAGTTTGCCTAACAAAAGTCTAACAAGTGTTTGATTTTAGCTAACCCGTGCATGAAGCCTAGCCCTTAGGAGAAACTTAGGAGAAACTTCAACCCTTTCGCTACGCCCGGTTTCTTTTCTATTTAGTAGGTGGATAATGTATTGAGAAAAAAGTTTGGACTGATGCACACCGTGTCCAAATTGAAAGAAGCTTCTCGTATTTTAATTGGTGGACCAATTAGGGAGGCAATACAAAAAAAAAAAAAAAAAAAAAAAAAAAAACACACACATTTTGGGATCTCGACTCCGTGATTTCCATCATGCTTTTTTCCCTCACTTAACCTTCCCGTCAACCCACTACCCAATCAACCCTCGCACCAGTTCTATCTTCGCGTACTTGCCCGCCAGCCACTAGATAATCCAGCTGGTTGTTGGGGAACGTGGGCTTTAACTGGACCATGCTTGTTCACATTCCATTCTGGCAGCCCATCAACCCACCTCCTCTCCTCCCTCACCTCAATCTCACCTGCCCGCCCGCCACTAGATGATCCAGCTGGTTGGGGAACGTGGGCTTTAACGGGGACCGCCGTGCCACCCACAGGTGGAGCGAGGAAGAAGAGGAAGAGGAGGGCAAGTGTGTGTAGCCATTCATGTGCACGCCGTATGCCTTGGTGCCAAAGAGAGGCGCTGCTGCTCGCTCGATGAGGAATGCTGGTGGCGCATAGAACGAGGCACCCACGGGATATAGCTGAAAAAAGGGATAAAGGCATAGAGAGTGAGGCATGAGGGCATAGACTGTGAGGCATGAGGGCATAGACTGTGAGGCATGAGGGCATAGACTGGTGGGTTGGAGCTCAGGGCATTGCCTTCAGGGCCAGGGGGGAAGCGAGGGAGGGAGGGAGGAAGGGAGGAAGGGAGGGAGGAAGGGAGGGAGGGAGGAGGAACAGGGGGGCATAGAATATCTCATAAACTGCCCAATGCTGCATACTGCCTTCTTCTCCCTGTCATGGTATGGTATCACATACTGGTGCCACACCTGCCCTATCGCCTCTACCCTCTCAGCAGCACCTGCCGCTTCCATCCAAGCAGTCTGATGAAAACGCCCCCCATCTACCTTCACCGCACTTGTTCGCTCTACCCTCACCTCACCATACACCCACTCTCTTCCCTCATCACACACCACCGCTCTCTGCTTTCTCCCTGGACATCAACCCCCTCTCCCCTCCCCTCACCGCAAACCATTCCCCCTCTCCCTTCGCCATACACCCCCTCTCTCCCGTCACCACACATCCCCCCACTCTCCACTCACCGCACTCCACCGCTCTCCACTCACCTCACCTCATTGCGCCAGCCAGTCACCACACCCTGCTCACGCAGCCGCTGCAGCACCCCTGCCACCGCCTCTGTGCGCTCAGCTGCCCCCGCTGCCTCCAACCGGCCTGAAAACGACAGCACTCGCCCACCAGCAGCAGTTGTGCCGCCAGTGCTGCTGCCGCCAGTGCTCCGAATAACAAAGACGTCTCCAAATGGCTCCAGGTGCGGCCAGAAGCTTCAATGCGTGAAGGGATGGAGCACAAAGGCAAAGCGTGCCGCGTGGGTGGGTGAGCGAGTGGCGCACGAGGGCAGGCAAGGCAAGGGAGAGTTTGGAATTGTTTTGACTCGACTCAAAACACACCAAAAACTTCAATGCGGACGGGGAAAGCGCATGAGTGAGAGGACAGACAGATTCAAAGCGGCAGCTTTAGATTACACTGCACTCACAAGCTAATGAAGAAGAGCTGTATTTGACTTGGCATGGACATTGTAACAAGACCAGCTACACAAGTCATTGTAATTTTCTGTTATGGATATAAATACCTTGCCGGTTTCTCGATAAACTATGTAGAACATCTACAATTATGCTATAGTCACACAATAATGCTCTTTGCACTCACCTGTGGTGGATATACCCAGCAACCTCCTCGTTCACAACGAAGGGAATGAACTCCGACCGACGCTCCTGAGAGACGAATGCAGCAAGTGAGGATAGGGAGGGAAGTGGGAAAGGTTTGGGGGGTAAGACGGGTTGAAGGCAACGGAGGAAGGATTTGGAGGGATTTTTTCATGCGGTCAGTTCAACATGCTCGTGAGAGTTTTTTATGGGCTGTCTGGGCATGTGATGGGTTGCCTGGGCGAGGTGTGCACAGTAAGTGGGAACAGAAGTACATGCAAGCGGCTCACGCATATGCTTTGAAATGTCCCAATCCGGCACATCAACCCACCACCAAGGCCACGGCTAACAACTTAGGCACCCATTTACCCATCTACCCACCAGCTATCCAGGCCCCCCACCAACCCACCCTCACAACCCCTCACCTCCACACCCGCCCACCCACCCTCGCACCCTCACAATCCCACCCTCCTTCCCAACCCCCCCTCAACCCCCCGTCTCCCCCCGTTTCCCCCTCTCCCACCCACCACCCACCAGCCCCGCGTTGCACTCGCGGACTCGCTCCATGTATCCGGAGAGATCTCCCGGCAGCTGCGCGGACACTTCCGCCAGGTTGAGCAGCGAAGCGGGAGCGGCAGCGGAAGCGGAAGCCGATCCCCGCAGGATCGATGCGGATGGAGGAGATCGCGCGGAATCGCGGCACGAGGGGGAAACGGGGGAGATGCGGGAAATGCGCGGATTGCGGGAACCGTTGGTAGCTGTCAAGGGGGAGTGAGGAACGTGAGGAATGCGGGACGCGGGAAAGGCGCCGCGCAGAGAGTGAGTGGCGGAAAGGGAGCTGGTAGTCAGCGCGCGAGGGTTGGTGAGCGGAAGCGACGATTGCCCCGCCGAAGGCGATTTCAAAAACGCGGGGATCGCGCGGGAGCGCAGAGGACAGCGGAGCGCCGCCATTGTGAGGCAGAAGATGTGGTAGTGCTGTGGGGTTGGTGTTGATGTTGGTGTATGTTCGTCTGGTTGGCAGCAAAGGAAGTGGTACGCTTCGGCGAAATGGCGAAACGACGTTACCAAGGAAAGACGTTCGCTGCTCTTTTGAACAACCGTACTTCCCATGAGCATATGCTAGACTCGTTACAACATTCATAGTCGGATTTGAAACACAAAAAATCCTATCCAAAACATGTTCCCCGAGGCCTAGCTGTACTCACATCCAATATTCATTCACCATCAAGGCTTCAACGAATGGGGACAGAGTTGGAGGCAGCTTGAGAGTGCAAAGATACAAGTTTCACTCAAATTCACTTTCTTGTCGATTGCCACACAGCCCAGAGTTGTTCAACCGATTAGCAGTTGACAAAAATCCTGTTGATCTGCAAGCCTGTTACACTAACTATACAAGTCTCACCCAAGGTGTCCAACCAACTGAGTCATCTCACGTGGACGGCACAATGAGCCCTCTACTACGCATGTACACCACCGCCAGAATAAACGACGCGATACACGCTACAGTGCTCCCAATCACAACATAATAAAACACGCTATAATTGGCTGGGTTCTCCGGGTCGAAATACGAGCAGTCGATGTTCATCCCAAACACCCCCGTGACAACGATGAAGAAGGAGATGAAGAGAGTGGCGGTGGTGAGGAGCACGTTCATCTGCAGCAGACTGTTCTGCTTCTCGTCCAGCATTATGTTGATGTAGTCCTCCGTGTCCTCCACGTACTCCCGCAGCTGGGGGCGGTGCAGTGCGGTGGAGAGGGGTATAGAGCCATACACAGGGGCACAAAGGGGTATAGAGGGGCACAGACGAGTACAGAGGGGTAGAGAGGGGTGTTGTGTAGGGAGGGAGGAGATGAAGAGAGTGGCGGTGGTGAGCAGCACGTTCATCTGCAGCAGACTGTTCTGCTTCTCGTCCAGCATTATGTTTATGTAGTCCTCCGTGTCCTCCACGTACTCCCTCAGCTGGAAGGGGGTGCAGAGCGGTACAGAGGGGTAGACAACAGGGTGGAAATGGGTGAAGGGGGGTACCGTATGGTATGGAGGGGTATAGAGGAATATGTTGTTGATGTAGTGCTCCGTGGCCTCTAGTCCAGAACCTCGAGCAACTGAAGGATGAGACATCTGGAAGCATGGGAGCAGCGTAGAAAGGATAGACATTCATTTGCAACCTTACGTGTCACCCATGTGTTGCTGCTGTGCCAGTCACATTACGCCACATTCACATGCACATGATAGCTCCATGCCTTGATGAAATGTCCCCATGATGCTAGCTCATCCACATGCCTGCACATGTACGTACCGACCTAGCAGCGACTCTATCTCCTCAGAGTCACATTCAACACAGAAATGACAAGCCAATGGCAGGTGAAGGATAAGCCATTCGACCTACCTGTGATAGCTTATGACAGTGTTTCGAGCCGGACCAATCCCCACCGGGGAGGTGCGGTCCGGATCGATCCCATCCAGGGTGGTGTGATCCGCATCCCACTCAGCTCAACTCACACATGTTAAGCCGACAAAACATAAGTGATAAGCCATCCACACATACCGATGACAGCCTGTTGAGCGTGCCTTCGATCTCGAGAAGCATCTCCAGCTCCTCTACATCCCACTCAGCTCAACTCACACATGATAGGTCAATGGCTTACGATGAGACTACGCGCGATATGTTAACAACACGTACCGATGACAGCTTGTTGAGAGTGCCTTCAATCTGCACAAAGTACGCCTCCAGCAGCATCTTCAACTCCTCCACATCCCACTCCACCAATCTAAATTCACACACGTCAAGCCAACAAAACGTAAGTGATAAGCCGACCGTCCACACATACCGATGATAGCTTGTTGAGTGTTCCTTCGATCTGCACAAAGTACGCCTCCAAAAGCATCTCCAGCTCCTCCACATCCCACTTCTTGCTCCCACTGCTGCGGCTGCTGCTGCTGCTGCTGCTACTGCTACTGCTGCTGCTGCTGCTGCTCCCACTCCTGCTGCTCCCACTCCTACCACTCCCACGGCTGTGGCTGCGACTGCGGCTGCCTCTGCTCCCTCTGCTCCCTTTACTGCCACTTCCTCTACCGTCACTCCCCCCTTCTGACCCCATAACCTCACCACCAATCACACCCGGAAGAGAACCCACTGAGCCTACTCCTGGCCCATGCTCAGCCACGCTGGGAAGAGAGTGACTTGAATGCCGGTGGTGGTCAGGGTGCTGTGCGTGGGAGCGTGAGTGGGAGTGCCCGCGGGAGTGCGAGTGTGAGTGAGAATGAGAGTGTGAGCGGCCGCTGGCAGAAGAGTTGGAGAGGCGGGGAAGGCTAGGAGAGGGTCCTGTGGGGGAGAAGTGAGAGAGAGACGAATGGACGGTCGGATTTGAATGCTGGGACGAAGAAGGGGGACGGCGCTGCGATCCCGAGCTTGCATGGTCATGTCGACCAATCGCTAGCAGCAACGGCTCATGCCCGTCTGACCCTGCACCATCTGAACCTGTGCTCTCCGAACCTGCACCCTCCGAACCTACACCTTCCGAACCTACACCCTCCGAACCTGCATCTTCTGAGCCTGCACCTTCCGAACCTGCACCTTCCGAACCATCTCCATCCGGAGGAATGTCATCCAGGCCAGGTGGGGAAGCACTACCAGAGCTCGGACATTTCTTTTCCCTTTCAGAAACTCCTCCTCCCCTTTTCTCTCCACGGGCAGAGGATCCGGAGTGGGAGGGCACGCCAAAGCTGAACTTATCCTCTGCCCGCCCGTGCACGTGCTGGTGCTGCTGCAGCAGCAGCAGCCGCTGCCGCTCCTCCTCCTCGCGCATCTCCTCCTCCTCCTGCTGCTGCTCTGCCGCAGCCTGCCGCTGCTGCAGCAGCTTGTCTGTGAGGTACATCTCGTCCATGTCCTCATCATCGTCTAGCAGCTGCTCTAGCTCATCTCGAACCTGCCAATAAAGGGGATGGGATGGTGTAGGGGACAAAGTAAAGCAGGGGAGATGCTGCAGCAGCTTGCCTGTGAGGCACATCTCGTCCATATCCTCATCATCGTCTAGCAGCTGCTCTAACTCGTCTCGCATCTGCCAATAAAGAGTACGCAGAAAATAAGGGAAAACGGTGCAGCAGCTTGTCTGTGAGGGCATCTCGTCCCTGTCCTCATTGTTGTCCAACAAATGCTCTAACTCAACACCAAGCTGTTGGTAGAGAGGATATGATGAAGCAGGAGCCACACAGTAGCAGCTTGTCTGTGAGTGAGGCACATACATCTCGTCCCTGTCCTCATCATCGTCTAACAACTGCTCTAGCTCATCTCGCACCTGCCAATAAAGAGGACGCGGTAAAGCATGGAACACGGGAGACAGTGCAACAGCTAGCCCGAGAGGAGGTACAACCCCTCCAACTCGCCCCACACAGGCAAGTGACGGAGATTTGGTAGAGCAGGTGGAACGGCAAATTAGGGGAGGCAGTGCAATGGCTTGTCGGTGCGTGAGGTGCATTTCGTCCTGACTTTTGAGTCGACTCAAAGGTCGCCCTCATCGTCGTCAGCAAGCAGCCAGCAATGAGGGCCAGACAGCAATGAGGGCCAGACAGCAATGAGGGCCAGACAGCAATGAGGGCCAGACAGCAATGAGGGCCAGACAGCAATGAGGGCCAGACAGGCTCTAGCGTATCTCGAACCTGTCAACCCCTCTCCAGCAACGCACCTTGTGCACGCATCCAGAAAGGACAACAAGGGAGCTCTTTATCTCCACAGGCGAGCACGCACCTTGTGCCATCACAAACTCTCACAGCCACACCTTCTCCGCGCGGCCTGAGATGGCAAAGGGGCTGCTCTTGATCCAAGCAGGCGAGCACGCACTCATGCAATCACACACTTCACACACTTCACACACTTCACACACTTCACACACTTCACAGCCTTCACACACTTCACACACTTCACACACTTCACAGCCTTCACACACTTCACACACTTCACACACTTCACACACTTCACAGCCTTCACAGCCTTCACACACTTCACACACTTCACACACTTCACACACTTCACAGCCGTCACACCCCTCACACCCCTCACACCCCTCACACCCCTCACACCCCTCACGGCCCTCACGGCCCTCACGGCCCTCACGGCCCTCACGGCCCTCACGGCCCTCACGGCCCTCACGGCCCTCACGGCCCTCACGGCCCTCACGGCCCTCACGGCCCTCACGGCCCTCACGGCCCTCACGGCCCTCACGGCCCTCACGGCCCTCACGGCCCTCACGGCCCTCACGGCCCTCACGGCCCCACCTTCTGCACGCGGCCAGAGATGACGACGAGGCGGCTCTTGATCTGCCGCACCCTCTCCAGGTTGAGCGTTGACACGGACGCCGTCAGCTCGTCCAGTGCCGGGTATGCCTCCTGCTCCACTCGGGTTGTCTGGCGGGAAGAGTGGGGGAGAGAGAGGAGAAAGAGGTGCACGAATGGGGGAATGACGCCGTGAGCTCGTCTACTGCTGGTTATGCTTCCTGCTCCACTCGAGTGGTCTGCAGGCGAAGCGAAGGCGGCGAAGGGGGAGAGCAAAAGCGGTGAAAGGGGTGCACCGTGCACGAATGGGGGAAAGATGCGATCAACTCGTCCAGTGAAGGAGCAGGAGGAGGTATACCTCCTCCTGCTCCTGCTCCTCTCAGGTAGTCTGGAGAGGCCAAGGGAATGGCGAGGAGGAACGCATTGAACCCCAGCAACACTAAACCTGGACAACAGTCGTCTCAACAACGCTTACCACGAGCGGCCTCCAGGCACACCTCGAGCATTTAGCGCCCCTCACCTCAGCACCCCCTGCCCCACTAACCCCTTCAGCCCTCACCTCAGCGTCGAGGGTCCCACAGGCAGACTCCAGTCCAGGCACACCTCCAGTGCACGGGACTCAAAGGCAACGCGTTGGGCCCTGGTTACAGCAGCAGCACACCCATTCCTTTCCACCCACACCTCTGCCCTCACACCATCCCTGAGGCTCACCTCAGCATCAAGGGTGCCGCAGGCAGACTGCAGGCAAACCTCCAGAGCGCGGAACTTAAAGGGCAGAGCGTTGGGCCCCCGCCAGGCCCGTGAGCCCATTTTTGAGGCGCCTCAAAAGGCGCGGAACTTAAAGGGCAGCGCGTTGGGCCCCCGCCAGGGCCGTGAGCCCATTCCCCTCCTTCTAGCAATACCCCTGCTTTCATCTCAGCACCCATTGACCCATGTGTCCCTTCAGCCCTCACCTCGGCGTCGAGAGTGCCGCAAGCAGACTCCAGGCACACCTCCAGAGCGCGGAACTCAAAGGGAAGAGCGTTGGGCCCCCGCCACGCCATGCCCCCCGCTTCCAGCGCCGCCGTTGCCGCCCCCTCTGCTGCTGATCCTCCTTCTGCTACTGGTGGCGCTCCTGCCACCGCCGCCACCGCCGCCGCAGCTGCTGGTGGTGCTGATGGTGCTGCTGATGGTGTTGAAACGGTGGGTGTGGGTGGTGCTGTAGCAGCAGCAAGGTTGGCAGCTGCTGCAGCAGCGGAGGGTGGAGGGGGAGGAAAGGAGAGCAGAGGGATGCTTGCAGCAGCACGGGAAGAGACTTGTGCTGAGGTGGCAGCTGCTGAGGTGGTAGTTACTGGGGTGGCAGCTGAAGTGGCAGTTGCTGCGGTGGCAGTTGCTGAGGTGGCAGCTGCTGAGGTGGGTGCAGCAGCAGCAGCCACGGTTGCAGGAGCAGGAAGGGAGGTTGAGGGAGGCGAGAGAGTGAGAGGGGGAATGAGTTCATGCCCTAGCACCTGCAAGGAAAGGGGGAGCACGAAACGAATGGTGGGGAGGAGGAGGAGGAGGAGGAGGGTATGTGGCGGAGGGTTGGTGGATAAGAAGGAAACCCTCAAGCTGCTTCGCCATCCCATGGCCCACCGCCGGGTACATGCCCAGGCTTTAAGAATTGAATGTAACCTGGGGTGGGACAGGAGGTGAAACGTGCTGCGCCGCCAGATGTGCTCAGCAATGGGACAAATGGAAACATGCACATACACACCTTGTAACTGCTGCCCTCACCACACATGGTTGCTTTGCTACCTGGTGGCCTGCTGTGTGGAGGTGCAGCGGCAGGCGCGCCTTGAGATCCTCCACTCCACTCCACCACCCGCGCCACCTGCAAGTGCCGCATGCGATGTGCCTCGAGATGTGCTGTGCAATGGGGCTGATGCAAACATGCACGCACCTTGTAGTACCTGAGACCATCATGTGATGTGATGTGTCTCTCTCTCTCGCCTGTTGCCCCCACCACACACACACCTGCTGCCCTGTGGCATTGAAGTGCAGGGGCAGGCGCGACTTGAGCTCCTCCTCCACCCGTGCCACCTGGAAGTTCTGCTAGATTTGCTCGGTAATGGGAGGGAAACATGCACACACCTGCCACCTGCTAGCCTCGCCACACTTTCTTGCTACCTGCTGGCCTGCAGCATTGAGATGGAGGGGCAGGCGCGCCTTTAACTCCTCCACCACCCGCGCCACCTGGAAATTCCGCCAGTTGAGCAGCAGCACCTCCTCCGCCATTATTATGCACTGGGGGGGGGGGGGAGGAAGGGGGCAGGGAATGGGATACAGGGGAGATGGGATTGGGGGGGGGTTGGGGGAAGCAGGGCGGGGGAGGGAAGCGAGTTAAGCAGCACTCCGCCATTGTTATGCAATGGGGGGGGTGGAGGGAGGTGGGCGGGGATCGGGCGGGGGTGGAAGGGATAAGAGGAGGACAGCCTGGGGGATACTTTTGAGTCGACTCAAAAGTCACCTCACCCACTTCGATGTGCAGTAGGTAGGTTGACCACAATGGCTGGATCTCTTCCCAACAGCGAGGTGACTTTTGAGTCGACTCAAAAGTCACCTCACCCACTTCGATGTGCAGTAGGTAGGTTGACCACAATGGCTGGATCTCTTCCCAACAGCGAGGTGACTTTTGAGTCGACTCAAAAGTCACCTCACCCACTTCGATGTGCAGTAGGTAGGTTGACCACAATGGCTGGATCTCTCCCCTACAGCGTGGAGGGGTTGGTTGGAGTATCGAGGGCAGCGGGTCGAGAATGCGGAGGTCTCGGCACGGGACAGAGGGGCTCAAGGAGGTTCGCCAACAAACCCTCACACACCTTTTGAGGCTCCTCAAAAGGCGGCGCAAGGAGGTTCGCCAACAAACCCTCACACACCTTGATGTGCTCCAGATTGACCACGATGGCTTGCTCGCGGCCCAGCAGCGTGGAGGGGTAGGAGAGCAGCGGGTCGAGAATGCGGAGGTCGCGCGCTGGGATGGCGCAGCGGCGCATGATGGCATACTTGTCCGCCTCTATCACCTGAGGGGGGGGGGGGGGGGGGGGGGAAGGGGGAGGGGAGGGGGAAGAGGAGAGGGGAGGGGGGGGGGGCGGGTGGTGAAGCCTACACACACATGGAGCGGCGGCGCATGATGGCGTACTTGTCCGCCTCTATCACCTGAGAGGGAGGGGTGAGTGGGGGGTGGTGGGGGGGGGCGGGCGGAGCGGGAGGGAAGGGGGGCAGGGGAAGAGGGGTCAAGTCAACACACATGGAGCAGCTGGGATGGAGCAGCGGCGCATGATGGCGTACTTGTCCGCCTCTATCACCTGGAAGGGGGGGGGAAAGGGGGGCGTGGGGGTAGGGCGGAGCGGAAAGTGGAGAGTGGGGTCCAAATCAACACTCGTATGGGATGGAGCAGCGGCGCATGATGGCATACTTGTCCGCCTCTGTCACCTGGGGGAGGAGGAGACGGGGGCAGCGTAGAAAAAAGGGAACAAGATGAAGCGGCGTATGATGGAGTACTTGTCTGCATCTATCACCTGGTAGAAGAGAGGGCGGGGGGAAGTGGGGGGGAGATGCAGAAATGGAGGGTCCATGTATGGAGCAGAGACACATGGAGGGTCCATGTATGGAGCAGAGACACATGGAGGGTCCATGTATGGAGCAGAGACACATGGAGGGTCCATGTATGGAGCAGAGACACATGGAGGGTCCATGTATGGAGCAGAGACACATGGAGGGTCCATGTATGGAGCAGAGACACATGGAGGGTCCATGTATGGAGCAGAGACACATGGAGGGTCCATGTATGGAGCAGAGACACATGGAGGGTCCATGTATGGAGCAGAGACACATGGAGGGTCCATGTATGGAGCAGAGACACATGGAGGGTCCATGTATGGAGCAGAGACACATGGAGGGTCCATGTATGGAGCAGAGACACATGGAGGGTCCATGTATGGAGCAGAGACACATGGAGGGTCCATGTATGGAGCAGAGACACATGGAGGGTCCATGTATGGAGCAGAGACACATGGAGGGTCCATGTATGGAGCAGAGACACATGGAGGGTCCATGTATGGAGCAGAGACACATGGAGGGTCCATGTATGGAGCAGAGACACATGGAGCAGCTGGGATGGGAGATGGGCGGCAAGGGGACATGGGCGGCAAGGGGAGATGGTCGGCATGGGGAGATGGGCGGCAAGGGGAGATGGGCGGCAAGGGGAGATGGGCGGCAAGGGGAGATAACCAACAGGGGAGATGGAGGGCACTGGCATCAGTGCGGCCTGAACGAATTTCAGACCGCCACGCCCTCACGCCAGCTCTTTTTCGAGGCGCCCTTGATACAGTTCGACACAATCACAAGCCCTCGTTACAAATGACCCACACCTGCGTCTGTCCTGATTGGTCGATCCGCAGCCACGACCGCGCGCCAGCGCCCTTGTTGCGCCGCACGCCCAGCAACCCGCGCTCGCGCTCCCTCCCCTCCTCCCGCTCCGCCTCCTTCCGCCTCTCTTCCGCCTTCCCCTCGTCCATCCCGCCGTCCGCCGCAACCGCCGGCGACGGTGACGGCGACGGTGGCACGACCAGCCGCTTCTTGCTGCCGCTGCGGCCCAGGAGCCGCGCCTTCGGCTTCATTCGCGCGAACGCGCTGCCCCGTTTTTCGCGAATCGCCTGTCGAGGCGTTCTCAGCAGCTGGTGGCTCCACGCGGTTGCTCCCCTACTCCTCGGCTTCGCAACGGTCACGTCGAAGTGACGCCTTCGACTTCATTCCACGGCCCCTCGAAGTTTGGCCGCTAGAACGTGTTCCCGCAAACTCACTCGCCGCTCAATCTGCGACGGGCTTGAGGTGATGGAGTCTACCCAGAAGGGTCTCGAGGACTCTTCACCTGGAAGGCTCAGCTGTAGTATTATTGCACGTGCATCATACGGACTCGTGAGTTTTACAAACGTCACCTCGTTACAGTGTCACACGGAACTTTTCCTTCAGAATTCTGTGTACACATTGCACATTCCTACCGCAACCACTAACATCAATGTGTTTTTTTACAAGTCCTGTTTTCCAAGCAATCTTTAACGGTTAGGTAATTAAACAGTTCGCTGGCACATAAAGTTGTGGGTCAAATTTATCCTTGTTTCTGCATACCAGTCATAAAAGAGTAGTTAACTTTCTTTTGTGCTGCATCATTCTTTGGCAAGACAAAGAAGGGCGCAAAGCAGCTTTGGTAATTAGTGTTACTACTTACCTACGTACGGTACTTGCACGAAGCTGGCGGACGCGCAATTGGCACGAGGGGGTGCAAGAAGCAACTCTTGTTACCCAATCCATTGAAAGTCTATTCGCAATAAAGCATACTCGTCCAACGATAAGGGCTAAACAAGGAGGTCAATAGCGCCCGGGAGTACTCTGAACACTGCAGGCAGGTGCCCCAGTGCCTCCCCATCCCCTTCCACATACACCTGGCTGGCCTCGTTATTGTCACCCTCTGCTGCCGCCACCTTCATTTCAATCACCTCGGCACTGGGATGAACAGGAGGTGAGGTGAAGTATGACCAGCATTGGAAATGAGACCAGAATGCAGATGCAGATGTGTGCTATCATATATCCACACTTCGCAGGTGAAACTAACCAGAAATAGCACAGACGTGTGGTGTACATGAATGGTGAACGGGGCAGTGCCTTAGTTCGTGTGCTATCACATATCCACACTTTGCAGGCGAAACTAACCAGAAATAACACAGATGTCTGGTGTACATGAATGGCTATCCTGTTAATGTATGATAAGTGTACCTTTGTGTCTTCGTGCATTCCTGTACCTTCACATTGCACTACTCATTCTTCCACTGCACCCCTCATTCTCCCACTGTACCTCTCATTCTTCCACTGCACTGTTCATTTCCACTGCACCCCTCATTCTCCCACTGCACCCCTCATTCTCCCACTGCACCTCTTATTCTCTCAGTGCACCGCTCATTCCCACTGCGCCTCTCATTCTCCCATTGCACCGCTCATTCTCACGATGCACCGCTCATTCCCACTGCACCCCTCCTTCTCCCACTGCAACGCTCATTCTCCCACTGCACCGCTCATTCCCACTGCACCCCTCATTCTCCCACTGCACCCCTCATTCTCCCACTGCACCCCTCATTCTCCCACTGCACTGCTCATTCTCCCACTGCACCCCTCATTCTCCCACTGCACCGCTCATTCCCACTGCACCCCTCATTCTCCCACTGCACCGCTCATTCCCACTGCACCCCTCATTCTCCCACTGCACCCCTCATTCTCCCACTGCACCCCTCATTCTCCCACTGCACCCCTCATTCTCCCACTGCACCGCTCATTCTCCCACTGCACCCCTCATTCTCCCACTGCACCGCTCATTCTCCCACCGCACCTCTCATTCTCCCACTGCACCGCTCATTCTCCCACTGCACCTGTAATTATCTACGCCTTTGAAGCCCAAGTGGGTGCCGGAAAACAGGTGCAATCCCCGCAGGATGAACCCAAGCACCGTGTAACCGCAGACGGTTACCACCTGGAGTGGGACGGGTTAACAAAACAATACGGAAGGCATTGGCACACAAATAGGGCCACAAGCATGCAGACAGGTGCAATCCCCGCAGGATGAATCCTAGCACGGTGTAACCGAACACTGTTACCACCCGGGATGGGATGGGTGAAGAGAGCATGAGGGGAGAAAGACAGTGTGAGGAGGACATAGCACAGTGTAGCCTGATATGGTTACCTACCAACTGGAGTGGGATGGGTAACACACGCAAGAGTGAGACACATGTTAGGCAACACACACATAGACACATGTTAGGCAACACACACATAGACACAGACATGTGCACAGCCATGCAGCACTGTGTTGCCAGATATGGTTACGACCTGACATGGTTTGTGTAACGCAACCAAGCGGGGAGGCATGAGGCACAGTGTTTCCGGATATGGTTACGACCTGAGATGGTTTGCGCAAGGTGCACAAGACAGGAAGGGGAGACCTGCAAGCAGGTGACTCTGAGTAGACTCATAAGCAAGCAATACTTGCTGGATGAGACACCTTAAAGCCCAAACCGCACATCCAGGAATGAATCCTGAGCTGGGACTCCCATGCGGCCAAATATTCATCCTCCCCCCAAAGTAGTTGGCATGGCACTGACCGACCACCACAAGCAAACCCCAACTTCCCCAGCGCACATGTAGAGTGTCAGATGCCATTTGGGGTATTTTCTTTAGAATTCTAAAAAAACTCCCTGCGACGCAAACGCCACATGACACCCCCAACCCAACGCCACTCAACCCTCAGCACCCCAATCCTGAGCACCCAATCGCCATCACATCAGCACCCGATCCTAAAAACGCACATCCAAAGAGCCTGAGCTGGGACTCGCGTGTGGGCAGATCTTCATGCCGCCCCCGTAGTAATTGGCGTTGCCGATCGCAATCGTGGTGACTGCTGGAAGGGTTTCCCACAGGCCGTTGTCCCTCTGACGGCATGGGAGAGGAGGGTGTGGTTGGGGTGGGAAGGGGAGCTGTTCATGCCTCCCCCAGAGTAGCTGCCATCTCCCACTGCGGTCGTGGTGACTGCTGAGAGGGTTTCTCACGGGCCATTGTCCCTCTGTGGGGTGTGTGTGCAGACACAAGGAGGGGAGGGCGGCAGAAGGGAAGAGTGAGTAAGGGCGAAGTGGCTAGCGTTGCCCACCGCGATTGTGGTGACTGCTGGGAGGGCCTCCCAGGGGCCGCTGTCCCTCTGTGGGTACAGGGAAGGAGAAGGGCAATGGGAGGGTTGTGGTGATGTGACTGTTCGGGAGGTTTCCTAGGGGCCACCAGGACTGTTTGGGAGGAAGGGGGGGGAAAGAGTGAGGAGATTTCAGCCTCCAGGAACCCCTGTCCCTCTGTGGGATAAATGTACAGGGAACAGGATGAGAGGGAAGTGAAGGTGAAGCGCCAACCAGTGTTTTGTGCAATGTCTGAACTGAACCGAGCTCGCTGCTTTCTACCTGTTTCTCAGTTTGAGAAAACGTACAGGAAACAGGAGGAGAGGGAAGTGAGAGTGGGTGACAAACGGATTTCCGGTGACTGCTGGAAGGGTTTCCTAGACGCCTTTGTGCCTCTGTGGTATGTGCAGGGACAGGACAAAGAAAGGAGGTTAGCAAAAGAGAAAGATGGAGTAAAGGCAGATTCCCTAACATGTTCCACGGCGAAAGTGGTGTGGTGATCGCTGGAAGGGTTTCCCAGGAGCCTTTGTGCCTCTGTGGTATGTGCAGGGCAGAGAGAATGGAAGAAAGGTAAGGGCAAAGGAACGAAGAAGGGAAAGGATGAAGCAGTTGGGAGGGGTTGCCTGGAGCAGCTGTGGTTGAGGCTGGAAGGTTATCAGGGCCTGAAAATGTACCATAGAAAGCAGAGAGCATGTGGGGCGAGAAGTTGAGAGGAGGGATTAGAAGTAGGGTGAGAGGATGAAGGGAAGGGTGGGAGGGAGGGTGGAAGGGAGGGTGAGAGGATGAAGGGGAGGGTGGGAGGGAGGGTGGAAGGGAGGGTGAGAGGATGAAGGGGAGGGCGGGAGGGAGGGTGGAAGTGAGGGTGAGAGGATGAAGGGGAGGGTGGGAGGGAGGGTGGAAGGGAGGGTGAGAGGATGAAGGGGAGGGTGGGAGGGAGGGTGGAAGTGAGGGTGAGAGGATGAAGGGGAGGGTGGGAGGGAGGGTGGAAGGGAGAGTGAGAGGAAGGGTGAGAGACTGAGAAGTTGAGAAGCTATCCTGCCCTGTTGCAAGCTCGAGCATACAAGCCGCATATGACCAGACTCTGAAAGAACAACGCTCACCCCAATTTTAAAGTAGGTCTCAGTTTCGGTGCTGAGGGAAGGAGATAACTCTTGAGTCGTCTCAGGGATCAACCAACAGTGCTCACCCTGATGCTTAGGTCTAAGTTCCGGTGCTTAGGAAACGCCTTAAAAGCCGCCACAGCGTAGCAGAGAGGCCCCAGGGCCTTCAAGGAAACTGCTGCTCGCCCCACACGTGCGCTCCTGGAGGTAGGCAGTAATGGGAGAGGGGAGAGTTGGAGGTGTGGAGTGTGGTTGTGATGGGTGGCACAGAGAGGCCCCAGGGCCTTCAGAGAGACTGCTGCTAGCCCCACACGCGCACTCCATCCACTCACAGATGCACAGAGTCTCACCCACTCCCCCACTCAGCCACTCAGCCACTCAGCCACTCAGCCACTCAGCCACTCAGCCACTCATCCCCCACTCATCCACTCATCCACTCACCCACTCATCCCCCACTCATCCACTCATCCACTCACCCACTCATCCCCCACTCATCCACTCATCCACTCACCCACTCATCCCCCACTCATCCACTCATCCACTCACCCACTCATCCCCCACTCATCAACCCAGCCACTCACAGGTGCACATCGGCCACGTTGATGAAGCAGCGGTCCACAGCACAGGCAGGCAATTGAACTTGCCCCACGTCCACTGCCCTGCGCTGCCCTGCGGTTGGGTCATAGGGAGGGACCCAGGGGGGTTGGTGAGGAGGAGGGGTGAGACGAGAGCAGCAGGCAGGCAGCTGAACTCGCCCCACGTCCACTGCCCTGCGCTGCCCTGCCGTTAGTTTGTTGGGGGGAGGGACACATGGGGGTGGGGAAGGGGGAAGGGTTGGTTGGAAGGAAGCAGGATGCAAGAGGGCCACAGCAGAACGCGCTACAGATGCCCGCCCTCTCACATTCCGCTGGTGTGACTTTTGAGAGTTCTCAAAAGTAACACCAATACGTACGTACAGCATCGTGGGGCGTTCAAGCACCCTGTGGCATATCGCTCTTATATAGTGTTCTTACAAGCCATAGCATATCGCTCTTATATAGTATTCTTACAAGCCATAGCATATCGCTCTTATATAGTATTCTTACAAGCCATAGCATATCGCTCTTATATAGTTTTCTTACAAGCCATAGCATATCGCTCTTATATAGTATTCTTACAAGCCATAGCATATCGCACTGCCGTTGCGTTAAAACACAGTGTATCTTCGAAATATTGCATCATACGGCATGAGACACAACACCAAATGATACAAGCTCACACCACACAGCAAGCACCACACCACACACCACTATACACCAGACCAGACCAGACCACACCACGTCACACCACGTCACACCACGTCGCACCACATCACACCACACTGCACCACACCACGTCACACCAAATCGCACCGTAGGCCACACCGCAACGCCGTACCTCGCACTATTCTTGCCACTGAAGCCTTCACGTCATTGCTCCTCCTGTTGCCACATCAACAGCCACACCAACCGATAAACATCAACCTCGCAATCCCTCCCTTCTCTCCCACTCCTATTCCTCTATAAGCAGCAGAGGTTTGTTGACACAATTCGCTGCTGTGAGCAGCTCTGATAAGGGAGTAGCTTTGATTATTTGATAAGGGAGTGAATGCTAGGTGGGTGGGGCAGTGATGACGTGACCAGCCAGAGGTGGCCTGATGCAATCCTGTGCTGTGAACAGGATAAGGAAATGAGTGCTGGGTGGTTGCTGTGGTTGACGGAACAGAGATGGGTTGATACACGTCTGTGCTGTGAGCATCTTTGATACGGAAATGAGTGCTGAGGGGTTGCTGTGGCTGACGGAACAGAGATGGGCTATTACACGTCTGTGCTGTGAGCATCTCAGACAAGGGAGTGAGTGCTGGGTGGGTGCAGAGCGGAATAAAACTGACCAGCCAAAGGTTCGAGCAAAGTCAGTGCCTGTGCCGAGAGGAATGACCTGCAGGCAACAATGATGGAGAGGGTTGGGTTGGAGACAGGTTCCGAGTCACACCTTCATCAGTTAATGCTACAAGTATCTTTTAGGCTGCTGCTCGCCTAGTCTTCATGGCTGTTGGTTACGGTGCCGAGAGGTATAACATGACCTGTAGGCAACAATATCGAGAGGGTTGGATGGCAGCGGTGAAATGGACAAAGAATGAGTGAGAGCATGAGGAGCAAACAGGGACGTGGGAGGGGTTGTGGTGAGGCATGCAAGGCTGTGTGTTGACTAACCAGAGGGTCAGGCTTTACAACACCAGAGCCTTTTTCAGGAGCAGCGGGTGGCTGGAGCTGTGGCAGTGACATTGGCTTTGCATGAATTTGAGAAGCATCGCAATCAGGTTGTTCTCCTTGCAATGCTGTTGCACGATCATCTACACTGCATAGTGACTGTCCTCTCTACACCACACCACCTTGTCTTGTCTCCATGGTCCATCAGCATACCCCCAGCGCTGGTCTTCTGGAAGCAACCTCAGTCGGTTCATAGTGACTGTCTGCACTATGCTGGTCTTCTGCATAGTGACTGTCCTCTCTACACCACCTTGCCTCCATAGTGGCACCCCTCCATACCCCCAGCGCTGGTCTTCTGGAAGCAACCTCAGTCGGTTCACTGCCGTTTCGTTCGCTGTCGCGTTGGCTGTCACCGTTTGAAGGCTCCATGTGCGCCGCTGCTTGTTGCTCCCTGAGCTCTTCTGACAGCTGCACCTCGTCCCCAGTCCGCAGCGCTTGCTGCGCAACAGCTGCCCGAGGAACCACGGGCTGCCCGTTGGAGAAAAAACCGTTCACGACCTGATGACCGGGCAGGTTAAGAGGCAATGAAAGATGGCAAGCAAAGCAGCTGATTGAATTAAGGGCCTCTCTTGGATTTTATTGAAATGCCACCCGCTTTCATTTCTGATCAATCAAGCACTGCAGAACAGCATCCATACTTCTAATATATCCTCTTGTTTTCTCAAAACAGCTGAAATGCGTTGACGTGTGCCCGGATCTTTCAGAACTGGCACCAAACGAATGCATCAATGCTGAAATCAACTACTCTTCAAATGTATTGAAAGCCTCTGCCAAACATGCTCCTTATCCCCGTTCTTCCATAATTTGCCAGCTTGCACAGACAGCAACACTGCTGTATGCACTGCACTTCCCTCTTCAGCCTTTTCTGAATGTCACATGGCCTCAGAAAGTGTGAGAATAGTTACATCACCTCAAAAGATGGTGACTGACCTGACCCCATACACAGTCAAGTACTGCACAGTGCCTTGTGTAGTGTGCTACCCCACACAAAGTACAGTAACAGGATACAGTACACACAGTACTGTTGTATCAGACAGTATAAAAGGTCACATCACCTCGTGCAGTGTGCCATCTCCCCCCACAGCCACCACCGCCTCTGCCCCCTGCTCCACCGCCTGCTCGTGAATAAGATGGGTGAGTGGATGAGTGTGTGAGATGCGTGGGGTGAGTGAGTGAGATGTGCAGTGTGCCATCTCCCCCCACAGCCACCACCGCCTCTGCCCCCTGCTCCACCGCCTTCTCGTGGTGAGATGGGTGGATGGGGTGAGAGAATGAGATGTGTGGGGTGAGTGAGATATGCAGCGTATCATTGCCCCCCACAGCCACCACCGCCTCTGCCCCCTACTCCACCGCCTGCTCTGCTTGTAATGAGATGGGATGGGTGGAGTGCGATGGGTGTGCTGGTGAGATGAGTGGAGTGAGATGGGTGTGGTCAAGGTGGAAAATTGCGGTAAGCAAAATTTCGCACCGGAAATTTTGTTCATAAACTTCGGTCCGTATTTTGTTTTTTACTGTTTGCACCGATCAAAATTCATCAATTTGCACACGAATTTCTCCCCTTTTCTTGATTTATTTTTGGCAATACTTTCCACCAATTTTATTTTCGTTTTTCTGACCAGAATTATCGAAAATTTCGCCCAAAATCTGAAAAACTCGGCTAGATTTTGCACCCTGGGTGTGGTGGTGAGATGGGCGGAGTGAGATGAGAACAAAGAAGAGGGCAATATAAGTAAGGCCCCTTGGGTGGCCGGAGAATGGCTGTAAAGGGGAGTGATACAGCGGAGGCTGGTTACAGGTCGAGTGACAATGGCTTACTGATCGTGGTTGGAAGGGGGAGGATAGGAGACAGGGAGATAAGAGGGGAGGAAGGAAGGGAGGGGAGAGGGGAGGAAGTGAAGAGAGAGGGGAAGAAGGGAGGAATCAAAGGAGACAATGAGGGTAGTGGGTGCATTGCAGCACCACGAGTGCATTCAGCGAACGAATAATCAAAGAGAGCACCAATGGCCATTCGTGACCAGAGGAGAGGTGCTCTGTGGTAGTCCCTGTTTAACAGCTCATGCAAATCTATTGCCAGCTCACCCACCTTACCTGCCACGTCACTCACCTCTCTTGCCAGCTCAGCCGCATGATAGGGGTATTCTGTGAGGGCTTCGCGCACCTGCTCATGCAAAGACAGTTGAGCAAAGATGATGATGATGATGATGACGACGACGACGACGATGCTTGTCGCATGCATGTGTGCAAAATACAGGTTCAAAGTACAACACCCTATGGGTGAGAAAGGGGACGGGCGGAAGGGAGGGAGAGGGGAGAGTGGGGGAAGGGAAGGCAGGCGTCTAGTAATCAGCATGCAAGGGAGTAGATACATTTCAAAGACACAGCATGAGATGGCCTCAAATGACCAGCATGCGCAGGGGTGATTCAAACCTACATTAAGTGGGCATGTGCGGCTTCCCATGCGAGGGAACGAGGCTATGAGTAAAGACTCCAAAAGGTGTGGCGAGCTTTCTACAGACACACTCGTGTCGCATGCATGCCGACCCACCCTCGCATGACAAACCACCCTCGCATGTCAACCCACCCTCGCATGTAAACCCACCCTCGCATGTCAACCCACCCTCGCATGTCAACCCACCCTCGCATGTCAACCCACCCTCGCATGTCAACCCACCCTCGCATGTCAACCCTCGCACGTCAAGCGTCGCATGTCAACACCCCCATCAGGGCTGTCGCTTGCTTTGGGCCCAGATATTACCAGGCTGAGCGTAAACACAACGTGAAAGTATGTTGATGGTCAATAAACACCTAAGGGCTGCGTAACACAGCCGATGTACAAGCCGATCTAAAACGGGGTGGGGTGGGAGAATGTGGAATCGTTGCGAGTAATCAGATGGAAGGAAAAAAGAAGCGAAAAGAGTGGGGAGGGGGGAGGGGAAGAGCTCTGAACGTATACTTGAAATCCGGGTTAGGCACCAAACCAGCCCTTTAGGAAAACGGGCTGGCTGCGAAGCCAGCCCTTGAGATGGCTGAGATGATCCCAACACAGCACTTGAATTTAAAGCTCGCGTATCAGATTTCCTACCGTTTAACACTTGGTTGGGTTTGACCGTCTGTGATTGGGTAACAAAAGTCGAGATATTTGACGAGTGGGTGAAAAAAAACACTGCGAACACCCAAACAGTCGAGGCCAACCCAAACCAGGGTGGGTTGGTTTGGGTGGGAAACGAACCAAGGGGGACAGGCTTGGTCCCGGGTTCTGTCAACGTTGAGTTCAGTGTCTCATATTTTCGGGAGTTGTAAACGCTTGTTGTGCACGGGGAAGTGTGCGACAGCCAACTTTCCCAAACCACCCCTTGCTTTGGTGTGCTTTGCGACAAACTTTGGTGTTACCGGATTCCAACCGTTTAACACTTGTTTGGATGGCAGAAATATGAGGCGCGAGCTTTAAGGGAAAATGCCCTGTAGCGACCGGCCTGACCCCCATGTCACCCCCCGCCGCATGTCACATCAACCCATGCTCTCTGTGAAGTCATCGCAATGTCTCACTGTGATCGTTTCTCCCAGCGACGACTGCAGCAGCGGCTTCATCTCCTCCCATTTCTTGAACGTCTTGCCGCTGCCAGCTGCCAAACGGGAGGTTATCAATAAAGGGCGTCGAATTTCTAAATGCGCAAATGCAGGGAGAGACGACACGACACGACACGACACGACACACTTATTTACCGCGACAGGCAGCGATAAATGATGGAGTAGTTGTCAAAATTGCCCGGATTTGGCGTGGACATGCGTAAAATTCCTCTTACTTGCACAAAATTGTCCAGAAAGCCCAGCAGATGCGACACGGCATTGCAGCGCACGCCATTAGCTTATGGTCCTACTATTAAGCGACGATAGCCAGCTGGCGTGAGACTTCTACCTTTAGGGTTAACGATAAATACGTAAGTGCGTGGCTTCTGGGAAACCGACATTTCGCTTCTGCTCGCGCGGGTGCCCAGGCGAACGACTCCTGGCGTAGCTGTCAGGTTCAACGCGACGACAGCCATTGAGCACATATTGAGCAACCCAGCACTCAACAATCCAGCATTCAGCAATCCATTGGACCTTAGGACTGTCGAAGGGAAGTTCTATTTACTGGATTGGATAGGCGAGTGATCAACAGAGTGCCCCTTGGAAAACCCTGGCCCTGGTAAATGACATCGAGGATGTTGTGCATCGAAGCTTGTGTCGTGTGTCTGACATCGGTACACGCGATGCCCGGTTGAGTTCCCCAACCTTGCCTTACCCTCTGGGCGTATAGGCGATTTTTGTATTTCGCGGAGCTTTCGTCGATTCGCTTCTGGCAAAAAGGGATTTCAAAAAACGTTTGTAACTCACCATTGACTGTTTGACTGCAGTCTCTTCAGTCAGACTCCAGTGTCTGTGGTTCGTATTGGTCGAAGCTCTTATAACGTGGGTGCAATCTTACAGCACAAAACCCATGGGTGCAAGGTTTCCATCTCTGACGAAGCAATTTTGCGTGCAGGGGGTGAGCATCATGTGTATTTTGTCAGGCGTTGACTGAGGAGGCGGAGCCGCGGATCGCCGCTTGGGGCTTGCTGTAAGCAGCCACCCTTCACATAAACCGGAATACAGTTAGCATTTTTCGAAAAGCTGGACGATACATGGTGTACTATGCAAATCAATGGACTATGCAACAAATGCTAACATTTGACAGTTTCTGTACTGAAATTGATGTGTCTAAAAAAATATTGCTCTGTAAGCATAGCTCAACATGTTCAAAATTTCAATCAATAAAATTAACATATACCTAGACCCAAACCTGTAAAGGAACTTATTTGACTCACAATATCAACCATTTATTTAAAGAGCAATGAACCAAACAGAGTAGGGCAATTGTACGGACATCTACCTATCATCCAGTCTGCTTTCCTGCTACTCCTGCCTCGTCCTTCACTTGTTGTTCTTATCGAGCAGCGCACTGCCTTGGCCTTTGCCTGCAGCTTATTCGCCTCCGCCACCCTCGCCTGCTTCACCACCTTCGCCTTCTCAGAAACCTACCCTCGTCCCTCTTTTTCTCCTAGGTCCTTCTCCGTATTCTCTCTTATTCCCTAGTTCCTCTTATTCTCCTCGTCCTTCCTCTTGTTCTCCTCATCCTTCCTCTTATTCTCCTCATCCTTCCTCTTATTCTCCTCATCCTTCCTCTTATTCTCCTCATCCTTCCTCTTATTCTCCTCATCCTTCCTCTTATTCTCCTCGTCCTTCCTCTTATTCTCCTCGTCCTTCCTCTTATTCTCCTCGTCCTTCCTCTTATTCTCTTCGTCCTTCCTCTTATTCCATCGGACATTTGAGGTGTTGCACTGGCAATCGGGGAGGCAATACTCGGGCGATAATGTTGGTGGGAAAATTGGGGGGGAACAATTTGGGAATCGCGTTGGCGATTGTCACGAATGTCTGTGCTCTCGCGACCAATCAGAGCACATCGTCGATACATTGTGCAGAGTATGCGTGCTAACTGCTTGCGTCGTGGGGCAAGTTTCGCAACTGCGCGTCAACAGTGAAGACTGTTCGTGCTGAAAATCTCGTCGTATGCAAGTTATCGTTACTACTTAAAGTCTCTGAAAAGTACAGTAACTTGTTAAGCTGCTTTGTTACAAATTTGCATTGTCAATTTTTTTTCTTGGAGTACTGTGTTTTCGGAGTTATGGTAGATTAATACCCAATGTTTATTATTGGAAGTCATTATTCTGAATAGTTGCTCTGTTTTAATGCTTGCAACATTGAGCTTATTATGCACTCAACGTAATATATTGTCATAGGAAAACATTTTTTGTAGGAGCTTGAAATATCTATGTAAGAGGCCATGTTACTACAAGGACAGTACAACTTCAGTTTTACCGTAGCCTCTGGTGACGAGTCCGTTGAATTTAGTCGTTGAAATCGATCGCCCAATCACTGGCGCGCGACAAAATTTCTCTCACCTGGTGTTGCGATCTGGCGCGATCGACTCTCGTGCGTTGCGACCGTGTTACTACACAGTCGTTTCGTGTCGCAAATAGGGTAACGTGGGGTCGCGACTGACTCACTTTGACCCGCGACCAATCAAGAAGCTTGGGAATCTGAGCGAGATTGGTGCCTCGCAGCCCCCAGGGTCCCCTTATGCTGAACTCGATTCTACGAAGGGTACGAAATGGGTGCGTGTTTACCCTAAATCGTACCCAAACGAGAGAAAGTATATTACAGCCGGTCTCTGCTGCACATCATCTCTTTCTACCGCTGCGAATTACATATACGAGGCACCCTTCTCGTTCCTAGGGTTTGAGACCCCGATCTCACTAAGGAACTCAAGGAACTCAGCATGCCTCTGAATTTTCCAGAATCTCATTCCTAAGAAATCTAGTGTTGCTCTTTTTCCAGAGCCTTTAATTTTTACGGGCTACTTTCACTGCTGCTCAAATATGAGGACATAAGTGACGTTTTGATAATAAGTTTCCTCCAGGAACGGATTGCTGGTGGTTTCTATTACCACTTTCTTTGCAAAAACGAGCCCCAGAAGCACCATCAACTTCCAGCCACGAATCTCCTGGGTTGTATGGCCATTTGATATTCCGGAATGCGAGTACATTATCTGCATTAGTCTTGAATGTCAGTCTAAGATCTCCCATTACTGCTCTGGCTTCTATGACAATCAAACTCTGGTTTCGGGTGCAGTTTTTGATTGCATTGGCAATCATGGTGGTATCATGCATCTGTGCTCGTCAGTTTGCTACTCGTGCAGACTTGGGAAAGCACAAGAAGTTTTGCAAGGCCACGGGATCAACAAGGCGAGATGAACAGATAGCATTCATGGAACGGGTGCAACGTGCACGAGTGGACAAGGAGCTGGAAAGAGAGCGACAGAGGCCCCGCGTTTCACGGGAACAACCTGAGGTTAGTCCACCCACTGGATCCGAACCAACCTTCCATTTTTCTGCTGTGGGAGGTCAGTTTGAGAGAGAACCTAGTCCACCC